TTAGGTGGTTGTGCATTCTCCTCATTGGGCAAAGTGCGTTCGTATTGATACGAGGACATTAAGGATAGTGATGAAGAGAAGGTTTAAAGGGATGAATAAGACATTTAAGAGAGTTAAATAATATGAAATCCATTACCGACCTGTCCACCTTTGACGATGACTAACTCATCACTGACCAAACAATTGTTTAGGTATGAAAATCTCTCTTACTAAGACACTATATTTCTCTATTTCTCATGTAGACACACAACACACAAACACATAACTGTAACCAATCAAACACTCGCAAATCAAACTCACACACCATTATATTGTCACTAATACAGATTTATGATTGAAATCATTAAGCAANGAAAATACAATAGATAACAAAAAAGTCTGTTGAGAATCAAATCTACCAAATGTTGAATCTAGTTGTTAAGTTCTCCAAAGAGGACTATAACTATAACTTTATGGACTATCTAGTCAGTTGAAGAGATAAGATAATCAGGGCACACAAATTGAGAAGATATTTCAAAAAATTTCTTAAAATTACACAAATATCGTACAATGCTCATAGGCTAAAATAACTTCACAAAACATTAACACGATTAAAGGGATGCATTTTAATTTAGAAGTATCACAATTAAAGGCATACATTTGTAGCTTTGAAAAATCATGATTAAAGGCATGTATTTGTAACTTAGGAATATCAGATCCCAAAACAGTGAACTAAGGGGCTGTTTGGAGACAAAGCCAAACAAATAAAAATAAAAAATTTGTGCTTCAAAAACACACAAAACGCAAAACACGCGTTTTTTTGATTAAACGAGGTCTCAACTTCGAGTCTGTTTGGCACAAAAGACTCGTTCATTATAAATGGGAGTCTTTTTCTCTCTTCTCCTCCACACAGGTCGACTATCTCTCTTCTCCACTCTCAACGACTCTCTTCTCCGGAGCTCTCAACGATGAAGACGAACCGACTCTCTCTTCTCCAGAGATCTCAATGACGAAGACGAACCGATGGTGCTCTGCCAACGAAGACGAACCAAAACCCTCTCTCTCTTTTGTTTGCTATCTGTGAAATCCAGAAACGAAGACACAAATCTGCGCATATATGCCCAGATCTGTGCATATTTACAAAGATCTGTGCGTGTGTGTGTGTGTGAGAGTGACGGGTCTGTGTGTGTGTGTGTGGCTACTTTAATATTTGTGAAACTAAATTCTAGAACAATTGTATCCTGGACAGATAATTTCAGGCTTGCAGAATTTGAATAAGGAGAATGTTGCTTCTGTTGTTACTGCTGCAGATAAGGTTGGACTATCTTAATTCTTTAGTTATCATCTGTAAATTGTGTGGTGTGTGATTAGAGATCCTCTGCTACTGATGAAACCGAATTCGCTACTAAATTGGTTTATCAGATGGAAAGTTCCTNAGAGAGAGAGAGAGAGTGACGGGTCTGTGTGTGTATGGGTTGTGTGTGTGTGTGTGTGTGGCTACTTTAATATTTGTGAAATTAAATTCTAGAACAGTTGTATCCTGGACAGATAATTTCAAGCTTGCAGAATTTGAATAAGGAGAATGTTGATTCTGTTGTTACTGCTGCAGATAAGGTTGGACTATCTTAATTCTTTAGTTGTCGTCTGTAAATTGTGTGGTGTGTGATTAGAGATCCTCTACTACTGATGAAACCGAATTTGCTACTAAATTGGTTTATCAGATGGAAAGTTCGTGAAATATGTTAAATTCATCTATATGTTGTCTTTGATAATTCATTAGCATGATTGTTTTCTCTGTTTCAGTTTGTGAGGAATTGTCTGGTTAGTGGTCATACATGTTTCCATTGTGAATATAGTATTGGTTTTAGGCACTTCCTTTTCTTAAAGTTTACTTCTTGGTTTCATTTCTTTCTGAACAATTGATTACACTATAATGTTACTTAGTGACACTATTGGGGGAAGTCGTGATTATATTCGATGTGTAGGGAGGCTGGGTGCTGTGCTGAATGAGGATTAGATTTTGAGGGCCTCATTCATTTCAATGAATACTACTGGTTAACCCATGATATAAACTTATGACTTCTTTTAAGATATAAACAAAATGTTCTTTCAAACATCTGAACCAGCCTGCTCCGTCTTTTTTAAATTTTGTTTTTGGTTTTTTAACGGTTATGTCCAAATGAGTCAAGCCAAACATTTCTTAAAACTGATAAGGTAACATCTATATATGCACAGTGGGGTATATGAAATTTTTTGAAAAACTCAAGTAGTTGGCAATGCAATCACAAGAGGTCATTACAGAAATTTTAAGGTAGTAGAACAACTTTATTGCTGTGCCAAGGCCTCCCTCTCAATTCATATAATAGGTTTTAGGTTATTTACAAATTACTAGTTATTTTAACACGCAATTGGGGCGCTGCTCTGATGGTTGTTCTCCAAAGGGGAAAAGACACTATTAGCTGTTATTCTCAGCTCAAAATTTGTGCTCAGACCAGTTAGACTTCTTGTTTCCCTGACAAAATACTAGCTCACGTTTTCTCCAGAATGGTGTTCTCTATTTGTAGTTGCAAAAACTCTGAGCATACGTTCTTAGTTTTTCTTTAGAAAATATAGTTGAGATTAGAGCTTAATTCTTGATCTTGCCAGAGTCNGTTTCCCTGACAAAATACTAGCTCACGTTTTCTCCAGAATGGTGTTCTCTATTTGTAGTTGCAAAAACCCTGAGCATACGTTCTTAGTTTTTCTTTAGAAAATATAGTTGAGATTAGAGCTTAATTCTTGATCTTGCCAGAGTCTCACCGAGAATGATGCTTGTCTAAACTCTTCTGTAAATGTTGAAGCTGCTTTATCCCTACAGTACCCTTCACATTCTTTTCCCCTCCCCCTCTCCCCTCTTATTGCACACCAATTCCCTTGGTATTCTATGTAATTGATAGAGTTCTTCGATTAGGACTATTCCAACTAGTGTACAAAGGTAAACAAAACCTGGCTAAGTGGTTAATGGCACATCTTAGTTGGACAACAATCATCTAGATCAAGATCAACTGGTTTTCTCCAGATATGTCGATTAGGAGTAACGAAGAGGAAATTGGTGTCTGAGAATTAAGGGCAATTGAGTAATGGAATGATTCTAAAGATAAGCACCATTTTCATTGCAATGTGAAGTTTCTCTGCTTCACTTTTTACTCTTTTCTCTTCCTCAACACTCAATGCTGAACTTAGCTAGTTGATGATGTGCTTCTAAAATCTCAACGTGCTTTGCCAAAGTGATTTCTATACTGCAAATCCTTTCTTTTGATAACTGTAATACTTTCAATAACAATAATTTCTAAGCTTGAAGTGTTTTTGTGTTGATGCTTGCTTGGAAATTGAAGTCTGTTCAGTAGTTGAATGCAATGATGTTGGCTAATAAGAAAGGGGTGATGGTTTTGGTTAATTGTTTTCCCAGATATTTTGTAGTTGAAGCAGATTCTTAGTTGCAATCAGAGGGTGCTAATACTGGCTTTGCAGGATTTATGTTCTGTCTGCTGGTATTACTGATCTGGCAGTGCATTCTCAGCAACTGCAATGTTGTGGTAGCATGGTTTTCCAGGAATTGATCTGTGGCAAAGGGATCAGAACACAGATATTGCTGTTGTGGAATGATGGATGGAGGAGATGGAGTTCTTGCTTTGCATTGGACTGTATTGATTGTTCTCTGCAATTCTATACTGATCTGGAGCATGGAGTTGCTGCTTTGCTGAATGATCTGAAGGTCTAATTGCTAGGCTGTTCTGTTTTGCTAGTCTACTTTGTTGTGCTGACTAGTACATTGGAGTAGGGTTTGCAAGTAGTTAATCTCAGCTGTTAGACATATTTTGATTGTAATTAGAAATGGTTTAATCCATCTTGTAGGATTAAAGCCATTTTTCATTTGTTTTAGAACTTCTTATTCTTTGCTTCATGTAATTCATTCTTTTTTGGAAATAAAATTTTTTCTTTTCTTTAAAAAAANTTTTCATTTGTTTTAGAACTTCTTATTCTTTGCTTCATGTAATTCATTCTTTTTTGGAAATAAAATTTTTTCTTTTCTTAAAAAAAATAAAATGCTTATGCCCAATAAACAATTTTAATATGATACGACATAAACCCGACTTATTTAAATGCTCTTTCATATTAACATAGATGTTATCCTACAGAATGCCTAATTAACCTATTTATTCCTCTATATTAATCAGTATTAGGAGTTGGGAAAGATATTATAATATCATTTGGCTTTTGATGGATGAAGTGTTGTTTTTGGCAGGGTAATTACTTTAAAAGCCTTTTTTCATTTTTTCTTCACTCTGACAATATCATGGCATAACAATTGAATTCACAATTTTCTCATTTCTCCTTCCCTCTCTCCTCTTCATGTGTCTGGATCAGGGAACTGGTTGTTCTCCTGCTTAACTGGCTTAGTACATTTAACAATCGACTTGACTTTAACCATTGACTTTCTTTCTCAGGCTGGTGTTTCAACTCTCCTTCAGAACCAATTTGAAGAATTAGCTAATAAGGAGAAATTTGGTGATGCAAGAAACTCAGGTGAAAGCAAAAGAAGGAAATTGGTGGTTGTTGGTCGGGATTCGGTAGAACCACTCCAAGCACTTAGGAGTGCTGGTCGGGAGTTAATTAGAGCTTGAGGAAGTTGTCCACACGCATTTACAGTAATGAATTTTATCTGGTACACATACATGANGCAAGTTGTCCACACACATTTACATTAATGAATTTTATCTGGTACACATACATGAGCTCAATGATAAAGTTAAATATGTGTCGTGTTTATAATTGCAATAGAATCTTGAATTGAAACTGATGATAAAAACAGGATGATTTACTGCTTTCGAACTTACAAACTTCATCTTTTTTGATTTGTCCTTAAAATAGTATGTGTTCATTAACTGCTTTCTTTTCTCTTTCCATGTTTGCTCTCCTATTCTCAGGTCATGGATTTGAAAGAGATTGTAGGAAAACGGAGAACGTAGACTACTTCAGGAGAAAGAGAAAGGAGGAGAAAAAAACGTACTTATTCGATTATTTCCATTTATTCGTCATTCTTCCGCTCCCCTTTTTCCTCTCTTTCCTTCCCTCCCCTCATAACTTTTGATTTTTTTACTTGATTTGTTACTCAAATCAACCGATATCTGATTCTTGTCTCAAGTTAAGATTTGAGTCTTTAATCATTATTGTATGGAATGGAGACGGAGTACCTGATGCTCTAGTATTTTTATCACTGTTTTAATTATTTAAATTAATTTTTTTCCACTCAACAATTTCCTAAACAAATCATTTATTTTTAAATTTGTTTTAGTATTTGTGTGATTGTTTTCTTGTTATAATTCCTTGAGAGTTCGACCTCGATTTTTCGAGAATTATATTACTTCGCTCAATCTGCGCTTGAGTTTACAATATTAAAGTTGAAACAAGTTTTTGTGACTTCTGATTTACTTGTCCAGGTTTGCATGATCAACGGAGGAAGCAGAGAAAAAGGCCAAAAGGGAAATCTGAAATCAGCTAGTTTAGTTCCTTTCGGTGTAGATTAATTTTAGGCCAAGCCATAAAGTTGAAGAATAAAACTTTCAAGACCAATCTTGCTTATTTATTGTCTGGCTTTGGGAGTGTCAAAAGGATCAAAAAACAAAAGAGGAAAAAGCTTGACTTTGGCGGGCAGTTTTTACTTTAATCTATGAATATCTTTCTTACAATGTGGGTTTTTTTTTTTTTTTTTTTTTTTCCTTAATTAGTGAGGTATAAGACCAGAATCGCATTAAAAAGTGTAAATTACACCTTGACCCCTATAATTATGGTTTTTCTACATTATTTCCTCAACTATTATTTTATTTTTTCATTTTACCGTTGTCGAACATTTTTATTCTCATCTATGACATTAGTTTCAAATTATACGAATTATTAATGTCCGTTGCAAATTTGATAGAAAGTTGTTTTATTTTGTCTTCTAAAATAAGGTTACATTTGGTAACGTTTTTGTTTTTTTCTGTGATAAAAAATTGAAATAGAAAATTATTTGGTTGCATATTTTGTTTTAGAAACTTTGAAAACTAAAACAAAAAATATGTTTGATAACCATGTCAACTTCTCTCATATGTTGTAGCTTTATATTAATGCCTTGCTAAAAAAATACATCAAAATTTCTTATCAAGTGTGATCTTTCAAAATTTGGTCTTGGAAATTATCAATACCCATCACAAAAATTACAATCGAGCGCAAAATATGATTCTATGAATTTTGTTTTTATTTTAAGAANTTGTAGCTTTATATTAATGCCTTGCTAAAAAAATACATCAAAATTTCTTATCAAGTGTGATCTTTCAAAATTTGGTCTTGGAAATGATCAATACCCATCATAAAAATTACAATCGAGCGCAAAATATGATTCTATGAATTTTGTTTTTATTTTAAGAAATTAAATCAAGAAACATTTTCCACAAGAAATTGATTCGGTCATTGTAAACATATTTCAACATAAAGTTTCCACATAGTATTTATCCAATATAAAGTCACCAAACCATCACACAAAACNAAATTAAATCAAGAAACATTTTCCACAAGAAATTGATTCGGTCATTGTAAACATATTTCAACATAAAGTTTCCACATAGTATTTATCCAATATAAAGTCACCAAACCATCACACAAAACAAAAACTCACAAATTTATCAAAAAAATAAAAAGGAACTCAGATAATTTAAAAGTAAGTTTCAAGAAATATCAACAACAAAAAAAAAAAAAGAAGATCTATACACAACATACACACACACACACAGATATATATATATATANAGATCTAATTTGCTGACCTAATTTACTACAACCATTAGATTAATTGTAAGTTCCATTAAATATTGAAACTTGATGTTAATATAATAATTACAATAAAATTACTTCATTAAGTCAGCAGATTAGATCAAACTTTTAGATCCAAATAACATTATTCTTTTCTCTTAGGTTGCTTCAATGATTAATTGTGGGATTAATTTTAGAACAAATTATAGTAGATAACTTGTAATCTATACCTCCAAGCTAAAAACATTCCCTTAACTTTCAATTGTCTCATTTTAATTAGTAACTATATCTATCAAGTCGTTCCATTAAACACAACCAAGAAAATTAGGTAAACAAGGGTCCACCAATTATCTTTTGTAACCTTTAAGTTTGTCTCTAATTAAAAAGCAATCCGCCCATTAGTGACTTGGTATTTGTATGATTTAAAGATCTCACTGAAACATCATTGGTTGCTTCGTTGATTTAGTGGACATCATACATAGGCATGTCAACGAATTGGATTTAAATCAAATTTTGATCAATATAAATATTGTAACACCATCACATAGATGGCCACGTCAACATGTCACTCTGGGAGATTCTAAGAAGGTTGTGGTTTGGTGGGCTAAGAGGGAGTTTTAGATCAAGAAAGATGTTACACGGGACTCGTTTTATCGCTATTCCAAGCACGTGTTCAGGCCACCATATGGGGTTCTACTATATTTAAGGCTCGCGGATATATTTCTCTAGCTAAACGGTATATTTTGAGGAGAGAAAGAGAAAAGAAAAATTGAAATAATAGTCAAAATAAATACGATCGTGGAATAGACCGTAAGCAAGTATAATCAGGGTCCCAAGACAAAGTTCCCGTGGCGAGGTTCAGAGGTAAAGGTCTTGCGATAGGGTTCCCGCGACAAGGTATGTTCCATTACTTAATTGATACTTGAGACACTTATCATTGATTTATTGGGTTGTATCGCATAAACCTAGACCACAATTGTGTGGCCTTCATCTATAAATACCTTTATATTCTCACAAGAAATGACATTGAAAAAAATTGATATAGGTCCTTGGGTCCTTGGGCTCTAACCCATGAGGAGGCAGCCCCTCTCTCTCTCTCCTTCCTCTTTTCCTCCATCTTTCACACCCACTTCATGGGTCCTTTTGGGAGTGGTGTGTCTGAATCCATTTAACTCTCCACTTATATAATTTAATTTGATTGTTCAATAGATTTAGTGTTACAATCCATATTTGAATTCTTTAAAACTCTAACATTTTATATATCTATATACATATTTAATATATATAGAGAATCGTATCACAATTAAATTTTGAGTGTTGATATATTTAAATTTAAATTTCTAAAATACAATATAATAGATTTAACTTGTAGGTAAATGATCAATCAAAAAATATTAGTGCATATTTCACTAATCAAAATCAAATTGAATTGAATTACGATTAAAATTGAATCCGATGCATAAAGCGGCATCATGTCTAATATTAAAGTAGCACTATAAGCAGACCACAAGCGCCAGAGTCAACAATAATGGCCAGAAAAAGTTGCACAACTACATGGACTTTGTTGACCCACACATCATGGTCTCACCCAAAAAACAAAAAGTAAATATGGATGAGTTTAATACTTTCTTTGTTAGAGGTGGTGGTGGTTGTGGTTGGGCCATTATTTTGTGTGCGAGTGGGGGAGTCTCTCCAATCATCTTCTTGATAAATGGTATTGAAATTCCTTTCTTCTTCTTTTTTTTTTTGTTTAAGTAATGGTATTGATTTTCACCATCTTTGTCCAAGTGCAATGGCCTCATTCTCAACTTTGTCTCACCACTTATAGTGGAGAGCCGCCTAAATTCCATGTTAAGCAACTTTTTACCGGTTAGTGAAAAGACTGACTGAAAAATAGAACAAGAATTGAATAATATTGTGTTGATAGATGTTACTTTTAATCTTCCTCTTACTCATTACAATTCAAATTTTGTTTGATTTTTGTTGTTTGGCACTCTAGCATTGTCTCTTTTTATGATATCAAATCGCCAGGAAGAGAAGAAAAGTACTAATGTTGCGGTCATCAACAAAGTTGATTTACCCAAATTGTCAAGCAGTTGTCCCCCCTTAGAGAAGGTTTAGGATCGAGTCTCACTAGTTGCAGTACGATTTCATTCTCCTTCAATAAGTAGAGTAAGGATTTCAAAAATTCTTTATCATTATCAATTTTCTTCTGCAAGGAACCTCCAAACTTGAGCCCAACATTAGTTCAAAGAGAAAATTATGATGTGTTACATTAATGGAGGTCTTGATTATCTCAATTTCTCCCCAAGTTTAATCACCCAATTTTAATGGTGCAATGCATAATCTAAACCACCCAACTTGTGAACCCTGTACAAATGTTCATTCACATGCTCAAGTTAATCTTAATGGTTTGAGGTCATTGATGAAAAATTGATAGACCTGATAACCCTTAAAAATAAATTAATCAAACGAACCTAACAAAACACTTGACTAATACATAAGACTAACCTGATACGATATGAACTCTATTATATAAAAATTATAAATACATCCGATGAGTAAATTTTGGTACGATAAAACTTACACCACCTAGAAACATGATACCAACATGAGATATTGGCAACCCTCCTTTTATGGAGTTAGTCCTGCTCTTGGATTGTACACCCATATTTGTCCAAGTTTGTGATGTTATCATTCTTTGTGCATGGGCCCTAGAGACCCTAAGAAGGTTCAAGTTACACTTACCTTTCTTAATCACATTCATTGACTATGTCTGTTTTTAAATGGCATCACCATAAAAGCTCTCTTCCTTTAGCTATTTAAACTTTGTGGG